CCATTCACATAGGTACCAGGGATTAGCACTGAAGCATATCTTTTGTGGTGGGGTGGTGACCTTGGGCTGCAGTGACCTTGGGCTCTCTTCATTGTTTTCTCATTAGCAAAATGGGCTCAAGGCTTTATAGGATTTCTGCAAGAATTAGAGAAAAATAATACATTCAAGAGCCTGGCTCATGGGGCGGGAGTGGGTGGGCAGGGGCTGCTAATAACAAACATTTAATATTTAATAACAAAATTTCTCTGGGGGTTGATTAAAGTGTTCTGAAATTGGGGGCAATGTTTGCACCACTCCGTATTCCAAAAGCCACTAAATCACACACTTTAAAGGGGTAAACCAAAGGTATACAAGTTAATGCTCAGCTAAGCTGTTATTTTTAAAATAGGGGCTCTCTCTCAGGACAGTCTCTTCATAGTTCCTATTGTTACTGAGGATGTGCCAGGACAGGTTGAGTATCCCTTATCCAAGATCCCTGGGACCAGAAGTGCTTCAGATTTACATGCATTTAGAATTCTGAATCCTGGACGAGGGTGTTCAACCCGTAGACGCTATTCTTAAAATCGTCTCTGAGAGTTCAGACTTCCACTTTTTTCTCACGTGGCTGCCCTGGTTGTGAGTTACACTGGAAACAGGAGCCACGGGCAAGGGGACTTTGAGCCTCACATACACGTGCATTTGCTGGGGTGATGAGTATTTGTTCTGCTTGCACGTGGGTAGTTCACACAGGCGTGACATTGAGAAAGAGCCTCACGTGTGGACGTGCTCACTGATGTACTACTTACCAAATACATCTGAGGTAGGATAGGATATTACTTTCACCCACGAGCTCCTCCAAAAGAAGGACTAAAATGAAATTTCATTTCATGCCAACTGCATTTCTCACTTATGATTGCCAGTGTGATATTGAGACCAAAAGTCTTCTTCCAGGAAATTCAATTAGTGGTTAAACACTGAACTAACCAGGATAATTTGCATTCTCTAATCTCTGTCTTATTGCAGGTAGTCAGAATCCACGCGCCCCTTTCACCTGGGAGGAGTAAGAAAACCATAATTAGAACAGAAGCATTAAGCTGTGTGATTGCCCAATGCACCATTGCTTCCGGGATTAAAACTGAGTTTCAGAGGACCAAAACTTATCTTTAGGGAATGTAGGTCTCCCAAGTTTTCACTTGGAAAACTGACGAAGCCAACTAAAGTTTTAATAAATTCTGCTTCATTGCCATTCAAGGAGAAAACAACAGGATTTTAAATTTTAAAGGAAGGCTATGGATTCTCACAGGAACAACTCATTTCTCTGGCCCCTGTCTTCTTTTTCTGTGCTGTGGCTCTTGTCCCTGCTCTGGGCACCTTGTCCCTCTCTGAACAGTGCTGGGGAGGGAGGAGAGTGAGGGTTGAGAAGCCCAAGCCTCAGACACACAGGCCTGGCTCAGAACCAGCTCACCTTTTGCACCAGGCACCTTGGGCAGGGGACGATGGCCCAGGCACTGCTGTATGAGGATCAGGTGGCAGGAGGCCAGCCGGCACCCAGACTCCAGGAGGGCACCGTACAAGGTAGCCCTCCTCACCCCCAGTGGCCCCAGACATGACCTCAGCCACGTTCCTCCGTTCCTAGTCAGCATCCCTTTCTACTGTCTCTTTAAAGCAGTTGCCCGCACTCTCCATCCTTCCCAAACACGGGAGCCTCCCTTCCGATCTTTCCCCCTATATCCATCCAGGGAAAAGAAGCCCTTTCCCCTTGAAAGTTCAAAGACGGCTGGAATTAAATCCATATTCTGAGACTCTTCCAAGTTTATAACTAAATGTCTATGACATTCAACTTAAAACAAATTACATGGCCTTATCTAACTTGGGGCCAGAGAGGACTGTGAGAACATCAGATTTTTGCATCTCAGAACCCCTGAGTGCTTCAGTTTTGTATCCACTGTTGTTTCCAACAATCGTTACAGTGAAGTGATTAATTATACCCCAGATAGTCCAAAGCACTTATTTAATTATGCTGTATTCCAGGCTGCCAATGGTGTGGAGCACAGGGCAGGCCTTCACCCGCGTTTCTCAACATCTGGCCTTTGGATGACTTAAAAGATAAAAGGAGATATGTGAACATTTTTATGACCAAGTAACAATTTCTAGAAATTTTCCACTAAGTAGAGAACTTTTGCAATAATTTGCTCCTCGTGATTAGAACATGCTGACATATTTTACTGTAAGTCTTCAGCTTATTTAGATCAATGCAAAATAGAAATAGATTGATGCACTCAAAACAAAACACGAGTGCCACGTTTTGCTCAGGGAAGGAAAGTCCCTATTGTAGCAAATCTAGAATTCCTCTCCAACTGGGTTCATTTCCACTTTCCCTTTGCTTGCTTTTTAAAGTTCTCTTTCTTTAGGCCTCCAAAAATCAACATTGATAAAATAGAAGAACCCATTACCCATTCTAAACTTAGAAATGTCTTTTTATAAAGAAGAGCTCAAGGCAAGAGACACCAGCTGCCCTAGGGAGGTGATGACCAAAGTCAGGCCCAAATGATCTGAATCCTGGTGATCCTTGGTGACACTTGCAGATGCTAGCTTGGGGTCAGGGTCCACGCATGATGACTTTGGGATTTGAAATAGGCCCAAATTACTCATATGCTTAGACACGGTAATGCACAGCCTAGCTCTCCAGGTTTCTAACGGCCTCTGGCCTTGGTGCTGCTTCTCAGTTAGGGTACAAGCAGCCCGACCTGGTCTTCCTCTTTTTCCTACTGCCCATGACACCTCACCAAAAAGGGGATCAGGTGAATGAACCCATTGAATCATATGAATCGATTAGTGTGCACTTGTTCACCAGCCTTGAACAGATGCTGGCTTGGCCCGGTGGTGTACACCTCTAATCCCAGCGGCTCAGGAGGCTGAGGCAGGAGGGTTGCAAACTCAAAGCCACCTCCAGCAACTTAGCAAAGCACTAAGCAACTCAGTGAGATCCTGGTGTCTCTAAATGAAATACAAAAAAGGGCTGGAGATGTGGATTAATGGTTATGTGTCCCTGAGTTCAATCCCCCATACCAAAAAGAAAAAAAAAGTAGATGCTGGCCAATTTCACCCACTCCCTTCCATTTAAGTATTGGGAATTCCTGCATCCTATCAAAACTTAAGAATGGAAAAATAGCCACCCACCAAGGCACCATCAGGAAGCAGAGGATGAGTGGCGGGCTGAACAAACCAGTGAGCAAGTATGACTGACAGAGGAGCCCTTACAAGGTGCCTCCTCTGGGACGAGCCTAGTCATCTGAGACACTGATAGAGAATGCAATTCACCAGCTCTTTCTGAAGGATAAAGGTGGCCTCACACCCTTGGGTGGATGCAGTAAAAATTACATACTAGAACTAATGCCCTGAACTGCAGTGCATGGACCGTCCCCTCAGGCCTGAATCTGTTAACGTGATGTGAAAAATCCTGTGGTTGATACAGAATACGTGTGAATTATGCCATTGAGTCTGTGGAGGTTCGTGTCTCAAAAAAGGTTGAGTCACAGTGTTGGAGTGTCCCTTCACACTCAGGTGTGCTGGGAATGTCCCTTTACACTAAGGTGAACTTGCATGGAAGTACTGTGTGTTTCTGAAGCCAAGATTGTGATCCCCTTGCTAAGTAGTGGAAGAAACTGCAAGTGTGGACTTCACAGAGCTGCCAGTTTAACTGTGACCAAACTGCCACCTCTCCCGGGAAAACCTTTCCTTTGGCATCAAGGGGAACCTTTTAAATTAAAGTACTCAGCTGTCCCACATTGGAAAAGAGAGAAATGAAAGCAGCAGTCCAACCAGCATCCCCTACAGCTTGAAGGAAGCGGATATCCTTAGCAAGTGTTGATCAGGTCCAGGGACAGACTCTGCGCCCCAGAGGTCAGACAAGTGTCATGGACCACGGCTAAACACCACCTCTGCCCCTGCAAATCAGAATGTTCAGCAAAGTTGTCCATTTTTAAAAACGATCTATACTTTCATTCCCAAACCTAGATGTTGGCCCCCAAAACAGCTCTTTTCTTAGTTACTGTTATTCCCAGAAGTAAGTTTGCCTTGTGAGTGTTGAACTTTGTGTTGGGGAGTCACAGATGGCCAGCATTGCTATGGGCAGATGTGTTGACATTCCAAACACACTCCAAAACTGCCAGTGTTTGGAATAACCCACGCACAGCACCCTCCCCGCGGGTCTGACCTTATCAAGCACTCACTGGCCCCTCCGCTGGCTCGAACTTCTCCCACGATGGCACAGCCACCTGATGGGGAGCTACTATTTGCGCCATTCTTCCAGGTGAAAAAATCAAGCTCAGTGAGACCAAAGAGCCTGGGTAGGTCTCACAGCTGGAAAGCGGCCGAGCTGGAGCCAAGCCTAGAGCTGCTGGACCCCAGAGGCCACCTTCTCAGATGTGGGGCTGGGGCATCTCTGCACGGTGTCCCTGGGTTCTATAAAGAGCTGACCGCAGGATCGATAGGCCAGTCCTGGCCTCCAAGGAGCAGTTAGAACACTTTGGAAACATATTGGTTTCTTTATTTGCACATCTCTCACAAATTATATAAATAAAAATATATAAATTTGTACTCGTCTGAATCTCTTCAATATTTAGGAAATATGGCTGCTCAGGATAAACGATTTATGCTTGTCCTTTAAAAGAAGAAAGGAAAGATTTCCCCTCTGACTCGTGTCTGCTAATTTGGACATTTCTCTGGACACTTCTTCCTTGCAATGTATCTTTGAAATACACACACACACACACAAAGGCAAAATAGAATCTGTTCTTTGCCATAAAATATTTCAAGTGAAAAAATCCTCAGACTTGTTTTTCAGAAGGTTTGCAAAATGAATGAGTGTGAACACATGACCAGAAATGTCCTTCTGAGTCAAGCCTCGGCTGTGAACACGCGGGTGTTTCTCCCTCTTCTCTCTCCCCATGGAGAGCTGTGCGATGGCCATGAACGAGGAGCTGACCTTAACAACTTTTTTCTTACTTCTTTTTCAACAGGGGACTTATTATGTTTGAAAATAAAACATACATCTTGGAACCAATGGCAAATGCCACCAATAGGTATAAACTCTTCCCAGCCAAGGACCTGAGGAGAAGCTGGGGCTGGTGTGGCTCCCAGCACAACACCTCTGGCCACCCTGCAGACGTGGTCCACCCCGCCACCCAGACGCCGTGGAGGAGGGTACGTGGGAAACCTAGTCTCATGTTTCTAGGAAGCAGAGCTCAAGTGAGGGGTGTCGGGAGCTCTGGGGACATTTTGCCTCAGGATGCTGAGGACAAGGAGTGGACATCCCCATTTGTCAGGAAGGGGAGGTTGCGGCATTGCAGAGCACCATCAGGGCCCAAAGTCTCCATTGCTGTGTGGCAAATGTCAGTCTCAGACATGCTAAAATATACTGGTAACATGGTGTCCTCGGGGTCAGGATGACAACACTGCCATTTGGCATGTCTCAAGGTTGGGCCACCAAAGGGCAAACAAGACCAAAATGGCCCCGGCACTCTGTGGCTGCTGTCCTCTTGCTGTGAGAGAAGGGCGGCACGAGGTTTCTTCTTTCAGTCTGCTTTCCAGTTAGGTCCCCATAAGAGGGCACAGAAAATGCTCAGTGCTTGCTGACCTGCCCGGCAGAGCTATCCGGAGTCCTGTCTATGCTGCTTGCTAAGCCATCTTGCTGGCCCACAGACCATGCCCCAGCACCTGTCCCCACCCTCCTGGGACTGTGCGGCAGTCCAGATATTCTGGGCACCTTCCCTGGCTCTGCTCTTAGAAGGTCCTCCTCCTGCCACAGCACTGGGAAGAGGGGCTGCTAACTGAGTCCCCTCCCTGACCCTTCCCGTGTGATGTGGTAAAACCTCTGCCCCAGACCGCGGCCACCCTGCCGTCCATGGGATGGGGGCTACTCAAGCCACAGCAGCACTCGGGTAGAACTGAAGGGGTCCCTCCCTCATTAGGTCGGAGGCTCTGAATTTAAGTGAGCACAACCAGAGAGGACATCATCCACACTTTCCTGGTCTTTTTGTGTGTAGATTTCCTATTCCTCAATGGACAAGAAATCAAAAAACATCAAAGATGAGATGTCATGCTCACATTTGACTATCCGGGGTGCTCTCCTTGTCCCTCTCGACACGTTCTATCTTCTCTAACTTGAATTGAAGTCTGCCTCTGCTTAACAGTCCATATTTCAGGAGTATTTATTCTTGGTTCATTCTAAATCGATCCCTTTTCTAAATTCCAACAGTAAGGGACACCCTACATGATTTCCTCAGTCCTAACTTCCCTTCATACCTGTGGAGTGTCTGGGCCCTCACCTGCTCTTAACTGCACCAGTCCAGGACACTTACACAGGTTTTCTGCCCATTTGACCCTGACCTTTTCTATTCTCCGCCTCCCAGGTCTTCCATTGTGGGTGCTTGAAAGCTCCCTCTTGAAACCTCTGTCACCAGCACAGGAGGGGAGAGCTGTCCCTCAGGCACGGTGGCTCACTGGCTGGGTGGTGGGGGAGGCTGTGTCTGAAAACCAGAAAGCAGGTCTGGAAACAGCAGCAGCCCCTAAGGAAGGTGCACCCGGTGCCCCTGCCCTGCCCCTCTTGAGGGTCAGATCTAAGAGCTGGAATCACCGGGATGGGCCTCTGCGGTCTCAGCTTGTTAGTTTCACCCCTGGGGCGGGCTTGCCTTTGGTTGCAGACCTTGGATGAGATGTGATTAAGCCACAGCTTGACAAATCAGGAACAAGAGGGACATCTGCATATTGTTTCCCAGGCTCCCGGCTTTGAGGACCTGGTTGAATGACTGTTATCCACATTATGTGATTTATTACTCAATAGTTTAAATGACCCTTGAATATGTGGGCCATTTCATTTAGAACAAACCTGATCTGTACTTTCCCACTGTATTTCAATTCTTAAAGCACAGTTCTCCAGGACTATGATTGGCACTGTAATTTCCAGTCACTTTGACTGATAGCGAAATGGGAAGAAGTTGATAACAATGCTGTTTTGTTAATAATGCATATTGGAGTGTAAATGAACCTTTAAATTGAAAAGGGAGCGCCATCGATGCTGTTCAGCTTGGTTCTCCTTATTGTTCTAGAAATAGTTGTAATTGTTTTTATGCAAGAGAAGTGTCCTTGACCTCAACTGTGTTTATATAATGAAAATGGTAAAAAAAAAAAAATCATTTTCAAATAAGTGGAATACTTGGAAATTAGAATCACTCAGAGTTAGTTTTGGGTAACACCTGATAAATATGACAGGCACATTTTACAGTTAGATGCCACTCACCAATATGTTAGATGCCTAACTTATCGCTGCCTTTATTTTACACCAAATAAAAAAAAAAGTCAGTATAACTGCCACTAACCGGTCTCCGTTAGGCAGCACAGTGTTGTGGGTTGCAGGTTTCCTGCCTCGCTCAGTGCTGTCACAGTTACGGATGTGAATGTTCTGGAGATGTTGGTAATTTTGTTCCCCAAGCATCAGAAATCAATCCACACTCGGAGTCACACCAGCCACGATATAGACGTGAGCTATTGTTCGTCATTTTTACAAGGCTCTACATTAGATTCCAATGAGAGCCCACGCTGCTTCTGGAGGGACACAGAGACAGGAGTGGCACTATCCGCTCTCCTCCTGCCTAGAGCGCCCTGATGGCTCTGTCCCCCTGCCCTGCCCTCCCTCTCCATGGCTCTGCACTCAAGAATGGAAACTAATTTCAACACACCCCTCATGAAGCCCTGAAGGAGGCAAAGGCTGAGCCTGCTACTGGAGAAAATCCCATAATACATCCAAAGGGAAATTATTTTTGAAACCTTCCTTTCTTTGGGAATTGTCTCTACCATTACTCCCCGGCATTAGTTGGATAGTTATGAGTCAAATGTAGAAGTTGCTGCCTTCTCTGGGACAAAGCCTTCGCTTGGGCCACTGAGCACTTAGGAGAGCAGGGCTGGGAGAGGCTGCGGTGCGTCCTCAGGTGGACTGGGCACCACTTATGCGTTTCCAGCCGCCCACCAGGAGTCCCTGGGAGCCCCGGGGCTGTGACGGTGTTAGCTGTAATGGAAACACCTACCAGCGCAGCTCCTGACTGTTGGCTGGGCCTCAGGAACCAACCAGGGCTGTTTGAAAGTTCCCTTTCCCTCCTGACCACCTGCTCCACACCCCGAGAGAGTCTGTGCAGGTAGCCTGCTGCCCTGGCTGCTCTTCACGTGGGAGGGGGCGGCGGAGGCTCCACACATCCAGGTGTGGGTCCCTATGAGTCTCAAATTCACTCAAACTCTGAATGAATAACACATCTCCCTCGTGCCTCTGGGGTTTGGGGCTCAATTTCACAACTCGCTTTTGTCCCTGTCAGCATTTAGTTGGTCAGGTCCAGCTGCTCCTGGTGACCTGTCTCATTGCTGGCGAGTCCTGCCAGCTCGCACACTAGCCAGGCCTCGGGCTGCATCCTGCACGGATGTGGTTGGTGTGCACGGTCCCCACTCAAGTCATTGTCAAGGAGTAGAGGTGACCTTTCAGAGCAGAGCCCAGGGCTTCACTGTGAATATGCACAAAGCCATCCTGGAGCCAGGCCTGGGGCTGAGCTGCTGCTGATGGTCCCTGGCTCAGGAAGCTAAGCCAAGCTTCCGGTTCAGCTAACTTGCCCATCTTGCCAGAGATGGAACCCCTGGGCCTGGGCCATTGCCGCGGTATTCTGTTGCCCGGTCACAGCACACTGGCCTGAATGTGTTTGGCCCCCTCTCACCTCCCCAGTGCCCACCTGAGTGGCTGCACAGCCCTCCATGCACTCACAGATGATCCTCCCAGCAGCCAGAGAGACAGTTAAGTACTCCGCTGCTTTTCAATGATTAGATCCTCATCAGCTTCCTCACACGGCCGTGCCCTGGGCTGTCTTCAGCCCTCACCTCGCCTACCCTGCCTGTGGCTAGAGGTCTCCAGGCTCTTCCCCACCTCTGTACTCCTGCTGCTGCTGTTCCACCTACCTGGCACACTGTTCCCACAATGCCTGCCCCACGTGCCCTCTCCCCATCCTCCAGGCCCCAGCCAACTCAGGCCTTGCTCCTCACCATCCTTATGGCTGACCCCTATTTATTTCCTCTGTTGCCCTCTTCACAGAGTACGTTTTATTTGTGTTAATTCTCCACTATTACCCCTCCTCCCAACCCCACTGGAATTTGAGCTTCCTGTGGGCAGTAACCTTGGCCTTGCCCTTCCCTGTATCCCTAGCACCCAGCACAGCACCTGCACACAGCTAGCTCCCCATAGGCATTGTGGGATGATGCACCCTCTGCAATGCTCTGACCCACGTGAACCACAGATCGCCAGGCAACTACCGAATCCCTGATCTCAGCTTGCTTTTCTAGCTAGAATTGGTTCGAGCTCTCAGGGCCAGAGTTGGTTGCAGCCTGTTTGGGGGATAGTCTGTCTCTGGGAACTTGGCTGAGATGACCTTGAAAGGCCCAGGAACTGGTTTTCCCCTGATCAAGACTCAAAGAACCCCTCTGTCTCCATCTTGGCGCAGAGACGGTTGGGCCATCCCCAGACACTTAGGTTACTCTTTGGGGATAGGCTTTTGTTCGCCGCCCCCCCGAAAGGAAATTGAGACAGCAACCAGTTCCTGGGGCTGCTCTGCATATCACCAATTCAAACTGTGATTTTCTTTCACTGGACATCCTTGATAGGTGGAAACTGGGGAGGTAATCTAAGCCTCTCTATCCGTGAGAGCAACCCTCCATGGCTGGCCATTCCCTTGTGGCTTTATATTATGATGTGGTTAAGCTTCTCTCTGAGCTTGCAATTCTGTGAATTCATGAGAAAATCTGGACTTCTCTGAAAACTGCAGAGACAGGAAAATTGTGTTCATGTGTTTGTTTTCATTATCGGGAATTGTGTATTTTCTAAATGATGATCCGAGGCCAGTTGGAAATACACCCTGGTCGTTGATTTCACCCCGCCAGTCTGAAAAGCCAGAGCCCTTTCAACAAGTTTTTCAGTGAGAGATTAATTTTTCATTTTCAGACTTGTATTTTCTTCTGCATAATTAGCTAAATTTGTTCATGGTCAATCAGGAAATTTGGGGGCAAAAGAGAGATTTCTGCTTCTGGGACCCTTTGGCTAGGAAAAGGGGCAAGACCTTTGCACCTCAGAAAGGGTCTCATTTTGAGCACACATGGGCACCGTGGGGCTGTGTTTTGTTTGGGGGTTTTTCCCTTTATAAGTGCACATGATCACCACAAAGCCTGCCTGGGCACAGAGTTACAAAGCTGGCGTTTTCCTTGCAAGATTGTGAAAGCATAGGAAATGGTACCTTCCCAGAGCCTGGTTCTCATTCCTCCCCGAGGCGTCCAGATTTCTTTCTTTCGGGACACCTAACTTCATGAATCAGCACAGCTGGGTGGCAAGCAGGAACACGGCTTAAATACAAACATTTTTCTTGTAAAAATCTGTTTGGAAGATCCCAGACGGATGGGGATTCGTTTTATAAAACATGTTTCCCTCAGGATTATGTGACTGGAAATCTGAGTCAAAGCATTCCTGAGTCCCTTTGCTTTGTCTGAAGGAGTGGTTAGGACAGGCAAGCCTTCTGCCAAGCGGGGTGCACGCACTTAACTCACAAACCAGCAATTTCATTCAGGAGGACCAGAGAGCGTTCAGCTCCCACTTCCTGCAGCAGCATGTTATTGCAGAAACAGAGGCCTTTGGGGTTGTTTTTCATGTTTACTTTCTGAGACCACCCTCCATGAATTGCTTTATTTCTCCTTTAAAAAAAAAAAAAACATGCCTTTGGGATTAGCCCAGTGATTCACAGAAGATTGTGAATGCTTTTTGAGGAAGCTTGGTTCAGAGGTAACCTTGTTTGTTTGGGATGGAGTTCAGGCTGCTCCGCCCGCCTCATCTCCATCCCCGTGCCTTGATGCAGACCTTGATTCAGGTTCTTCTCAACTGTTCTGCTCTAACCAAGCCCCGGTTCTCCAAGGGCACAGTGCAGTCCTTTTTAGTTAGTTTGTTTGTTCTGGTTCCTGTTCTCCTTGTGCTGTGCCTCCTGGCCCCTCCTCCTCGCCTGTCTGATCAGCCTGGCTGTTCCCTGCAGACGGTCCCCATCTTCCATTTCTTCTAAGTAGGTTTTAAATGATCAGCCACCAGGCATGGCTCCTGGGGTGGACCTCTTAGCATCCCAGAGGATTTTGCAGTTGCTCTTTGAAAAGTATTCCCCTCCAGCTTTCCCAGATCACAGAACAGGTACATTTGGATCATACAGGTGAAAGGAACACCCATGACGCACTGAGCCCCCACCTCTTCCTCTAGGACCTCCACATGTGTGAAGTGGTGGCCTCTGGCCAGCTGCCTCTGTAGGGAGAGACTTCCTGTTTTTACTGTCATTATTTGGCTAGTAGTGACCTTGACCTCTGCCAATCCTATAATCAAGGATTCCCCAGGAAGGTGTAACTCCTTTTTGGGATTTCCCAAGTGGAAATAGAAAATACTCACTCAGGTTGAGAAGGTTTTACAAAAATGGCTAGGGATGGGGTCAACCTGTACTGGACTGGAAGATGGGGGCCCGGTAGGTTTGGTCGGGGTCCACTCTCGGCTTTAAGTGGTTAGATGGGAGACATTGGCAGTGTTCTGGAAGCCTCAGGGAGGAGGTACAGGAAATTAAATTCATGTTTACTTTTGGCAGCATAAAAGAGAGACCCTCAGGATGACCAAGTATGTAGAGCTGGTTATCGTAGCAGACAACAGAGAGGTAAGACCTTCTAGAAACTTCTCAGTAGAGTTGGTAAAGATAGAAAAAAAGAAAAATGGAAATGTTTAGCAAGGTATTACTTGCTGAAGGAATTAGGCTTTAAGTTCATTGCCAGTGCATACTTAAAAGCATCAGAAACAACTCATATACAAAGTGATTTTCTAATTATATAAAGTATAGAATACTAAAATGTATCTGTTATCAAATACCAGCAAAGCCTGCAAGGAAAAAAAAAGTCTCTCTGTAGCTAAGCTCTCCAAACAAGAATTAATTGGGTAAATGATGATGAATGGCTTTTGATTATGTTCTAAAACATTTTTGAGAAAAGTTAAGCTTTTAAAATGTCTGCTATGTCCTAAACCAGACTGAATGGATGAATGAAGGTTATAGAGACAGCAGAAAAGTCCTAACCTCTGAGCTGTGGCTTGGTACTATGTTGGATTTTTCTTTCAGTTAATTTTGAGTTAGGTTTTTCTTAGATTATCTTCTCTGTGCTTATTTATTGTGTCACTGACATATGATGAATCAGGTGACATTTTCCCATAGACTCATGCCACACACGGAAATGAAATGGACTTGACAATTTCTCAGAACTGTTTCTGTCCTGGAAGTGCAGATGGGAGAAGAGCGTGGGGAGTTTATTAACTTTTTATCCATCACCTTCTGCACTGGGACATGGTGCCATGACCTGCTATTGCTTTCACTGTTTAATTTTTAAAAACAAATATAAAGGAAGTTTCTGGGCAAGTTAAAATCAAGTTGATGATATGAAAAATGGCTCTGGACTGCTTTCTTGTTGTCCATTTTCCCTTTGCCAAAACATGTCACTGCCTCCATCATTTATGAGCCTGGAAAAATTGCAGAAGTTACTGTCTTCGGAGCACTTGGCGTGGGTGCGTTTCAGGGAGTTTCAGGAGTCCCCAGCTGAGGGAAGCATTCAGCAGGGTGGGAGCTCATTTCACCATAGGCCAAGCAGGCGGCAGGGGGGTCATAAAAGCCGAGATTTTTGCATTTCCAGGAGCTGGGAAGATGACTTTTGATTGATATTCTTGCTGTTGTTAATGCTGACATTTAAAATCGTTAAGTTTCAGAGGCAAGGAAAAGATCTGGAAAAAGTTAAGCAGCGATTAATTGAGATCGCTAATCACGTTGACAAGGTGAGTTCATCCTCAGGTAATTAAATCCTTCAAATCATGTAAATGTTTGGAAATGAGGTCAAGAGAATTAAGTGCATTGTCTGCAGCTTCAAGGAGACTGGCTCTACCCCTGGGTCCCCAAGCTGGTCCCATTCTCTGAGCAGGTGATTCCCAGGTGCTGGCAGCTTCAGGGGTTGCCCAGGGAAGGATTAGGAACGAGGGTCCCGGGGACTCAGGAGGCAGAGATCTGGGCTCAGCACTCAGGGAGCCGATGGCCAGATGGAGCTTTTTGAAAGTCAGAAAAATGCAGATGGAAATTGATATCCCCAGGTTATATTGCTCTTGTCCATCAGTCCTTCAAGGCAAGTCAAACTCCTAGGAAACTCATTCTTACTGATTTATTTTCAGTAGTAACTCTTTGATCATTAAATTCGATCTCAAAGTCAAGCCTGAGAATCCTGATAAAAGGTAAGCCCCTCTGATAGGGAGGGCGAAGGTCATATCACTAGAGGACCTTGGACCCTCCTCCCCAAACCAATTGGACAGTATCTATGTCCAAGCCCGACCCAGACCAATCGGATCTGGATCCCTGCAAGACAATGAAGAGTTACAGCTGGGTCACACGCATCCAGCAGGGGTTAGAATCCCTGGGCAGTTTTGTTTGCTTGTCTAGTGTCCACTCTTCAAGATACCGATTCTCAAGTCTCAGTCCAGGGACTCTGATCTGATTGACCTGGGCAGGGCACAGGTAGCTGCCGTCCAGGGCCCTCCAGGGATTCCAATGTGGGGCAAGACCAAGGTGGATGACTACCAGGCAGGAGAGCACGATCCCTGATCCACCAGCCCAGGCTGCCACACCCAGGACAGGGTGACTGACCACTGCCCAAAAGGCCTCAGGCTGTAGCACAAAAGGGAGTGACCATGAGTTCTTCTTAGGCCTTGGAAGTAAAAGGAAACAACCATTTGACTCTATTAAAATCAAACTCAAAATTGCTGAAACCCCATTTTTGAAAGTGGTATGATTGGGTCCTCTGTGTCTTTACATATTATTCTAGGATAGATCTTGCTTTAGTTTGCAAAACAAAAATGAGCAATTGGGGGTTTGCTAATAACTTGCACTGCTAGTTAAAGAACAACATGCCTCAGTGAAGTCCTGGCGGGCTCTGGCGAGTGTGCCCATCGGGCTCTTGTGCTTCTGGCAGAGTCTGTTGGCCATGCACACAGCCCCAGTGTCCCTGCCCACCCCCACAGACCCCAGAGACCCTGGGGGGATACCCAGGCTCCTTAGGCTCTGTACATCCAAATCTGCTGACGGATGACCCCGAGGTCTATTGAGCAGTCCAAATTTCAGTTTCCCAACTCGACACGAGGGACAGTCTTGGCCCCCAAAATATTGACCTTCCCAGAGGCCACTTCCTCATTTTCTGACACTCTGACTCCACTGGCCATTCTAAATTAATAACGGCCCGGCTGCATTGGCTGGGAGGGAGAGAAGGACATACCAGGCTGGAAGAGAGGGAAGGAACTGGGTGACAAGGATGACATTCAGGAAATCCCCCTGTGAGGGGCAGACGCCTGTCTGATACTCCTAGGCCAAACGGCAAGGCACCCCACCATTCTGGGGAAGCACGCAGTGTGGGAAGCAGCAGCGTGTGCACTACCAACAGGGGACCTCCACACCTTCGCCCCTGAGGCCTTCACTCCAGCAGCTGCTCCTGTGCCCAAGAAGTTAGCACCAGCTGTGCACCTCTAAGGCCAGCCTCAGCCACCTTCTGAAAGACCCAGCCTCTGCTCTAACTCCTGAGGGCCTTTTCTCTCCTGTGACTGGCTTCTTGACCCTCCTCCCCAAGCCAATTGCCTGAGGACACAAAAGCACTCCTTGAACCCCAGGGAATGCCACACTCTCGGTTGGGATCTGCTCCTTCCAGAGAGCTTTCCTTGGCCCCTCCAGCACAGCATGTCCTGGACTTCCTGTGGGGTGGGGGTCACTTGGAAGGCCAAGATCAGAGTTAACTGGAACAATGGTGATGTCCCATGGCTTAAGCCTCCTGGTGACCTCTCAGCAGTAGCAAGGGCAAGGGCAGGGGTAAGGGTAAGGGCATCCTGCTCTTTGCTCTCTCTCTGCTGGCCAAGCCTGGCCACAGCAAGAGCTGAGCAAATATTGTGGCTGTTGTGTAAACAGGAGAATGCCCAGCCCATCCCTAACTGTCCACCTAGCTCTGGGATCTCTAGGCCAGCCAGGCAGCTGTCATGCTCCTGGGCCTGGGCCCACAGGGGCCTCAGTATCTGCACGAGGGTGGCAGTGTTACTCGTGGGTCAACATGGTTCAAAGGGGTCAGTCAGCCTCCTGTGTCCCGGCCCAGCCATGCAGTCACAAACCTGTCCTCTTCCAGCCTCAGTGTCTTGTATGATAAATGGGGACAATAACAATTCATAACTCAGAATCCTTCTGAGAACTGAGCTACGGTTCAGAGAGCACCTCAGCGTCTAGCCTGGAGGGTGGCGACCTCCCGGCACAGGAGCTGTGGCTGTCGTTACCAGCAAGAACCCAAAGGAACCCACGGCAACAAACATCCCCAGCAGCAGTAAAGGATGTGACTGCAGCTCGATGTGACCCAGTAAGCGGGCAGTTCATCAGTGGCCCTCACCTGCGAGAGGGGTTTTGTGTTGTAATCTGCTACATCCAACATCTGTTCTGGGACGCAGCTTGGGAGGGTTTATCAGTGGAAGTGTGAACCCCTTCATTATTCTGAGAATCTCCCTAATTAGTAAGCAGCAAAGTAGCACTGAAGGAGGATGACAGATCAGTCCTTTGCAGACCTTGGCTCCCGATTCCCTACAACAGGCCTGGGAGACCAATGGAGTTCCCTCCTCAGAGGGCAATGCTGAAGCCCACCCAGGTGTCTGGCCCTGAGGACATCTCTTAGCAAGCTACTGTGAACATCAGCATTGAATCTCCTGCATTTCCTCCTTCTGGTCACTGTTCCCCTGTGTAAGACGCAGCTAAAATGTAACCAGGCCAAGGCCAGAAGAACACGTGTGTGCAGAGTAGAGAGGACAGGGGCTTGGATTGCCTGAGAAGCCTGGGCTGGGAGCTTGCCAGGAGACAGCAGGTCAAGCAATTCCTGATGAGAAACACCCTCTTGGGCAGTATTTTGGTTGTGTAATTGTCCCATTAGCTTATTAATGTGATGCTGTCATTGTTATCTGTTTGAAACCAAGCTGGACCTCTGCAGTCAGAGGCCCTGTGACGCCACTGTGCTCCAGGTCTGTTCTTCAGCTTGAGCCAACGCTCACCACGTGACTGTGGGGACCAGCAAGGGAAAAGATGCGCTGCCTGACGAGGGTTAGGCTCTGGGGTCAGAGGCTCGACCTTGGGGAGTTTCTTGAACTTGAGCTCACCATGTTGGAATGGTGCTTAACTCTCAAATTTGGAGCTTCTTAGGATTTTTGTTACTTTTTGGCCAGGTGCTTGTAGCAACTGAGGATAGGTCCTGCTCACATCTGGAGCTTGGCCATGGCTGCTATCACAGCTACATTTTTCTCCTTGATTATTAGTGTTCTCAGAAGGTGGGGGGGGGGGACTTTGTCATTGCAGGCTGCCTCATACATTATAGACACAGAAAGATTTTACAGGCCACCACTGACCCCGTGTCCTCTCCCTATCAACTGTGACCACAGAGCCTTGTCCCTGTTTGTGTGAAGCACAGTGGGGGCAGTGGGGCAATGAACAGTTCCTGTCTCTGCCCTGACACCCACCTGCCCATCTAGGACCCTGAGAGACAAAACCATCCTTGGGTCCTGGGAACAGTGGCTTTCCCTCCTGGCCCAGGGCAGTCTCCTGTGGAATGCAGGAGTGGCTGAAGCCACAGCCCCTAAAGGCTAGGACAGCGGGGAGAGCCAAGCGTGGGATGCCTGAAGCTCTACCTCACAAGCCCCTGCACAGGAGAATTCTAGCACATGGTCCTGTGATACAAGGGCCAAACAACTGCCGGCAGGGGTGGAGTGGGGACGGCCACTGAAGTCCTGCAGAAAGACTGTTTATGTCTGTGTTATTCTGAAAGATACTGACTTGTTTATTTAATTAAAACCTCCTAGGTTGATTATAGGTGGCAGAATATAATAGTGCCAGCCAAGACTGAGACTCTGCTGAAAAATTAATACAAATTCATTTTCAGTACCTCGCAGGAGAACATTCTGCTCAAATGAATGTTATTGTCCTTGGCAGAAATTTCTAAAAGATCCTAATTCACTTGTTGTTTTCCTTGCAGTGGATATTAACTGGCAGTCTTTAGCTATAGTATACATCGAGTTGCACATTTAAATCACCAGTGAATCATTTGAAATGTGTGTTTCTAGACCAGCAAAAAAGCTGGTGACTTCAGCGTCTGATTAGTCTAAATTTGAGAATCCACGTAGCACACCACTTTGCATCGGGCACAGCTAATATTTCTTAAATTCTAAAACACAGGGACAAAGGCTCCCAGAGGTGTGTCTCTCACCCATGTCAATGAATATCAAGCAATGCAAATCTGTTTTGCTCTTCATCTTAAGTTCTCTTAAATGTGATCCTCCAAGGTGCCTGTTTCTCTCAGTTTTATAGACCACTGAACATTCGCATAGTGTTGGTGGGCGTGGAAGTATGGAATGACATCGACAAGTGCACCATCAGTCAGGACCCGTTTACCAGCCTCCATGAATTTTTGGACTGGAGGAAAATGAAGCTTCTACCTCGAAAATCCCATGACAATGCGCAGCTCATCAGGTGGGTAGCCCTGGCTTAGGGAAGCACTGCCCTCGGCGCACTCCCCTTGGCTGTACCTGCATCCCGACCCTCTGTGCAGAGCACACCGGCTCCTGCATGGGGTTCTCAGCCACACCAGTGGGGCAGGTGTCATCTCTACCTGGAGTCACAGGTCAGGTGTTAGGAAAGCCCCTTGGGACACCAGGGAAATCTGTCCCTCTACAGAAGTCTGGTCTCAGTCCCTTCTTCCACAACTGGAGTATGTTCCTCTCTGCCAGTTTTTCTGATCTTGATATAAAATCCACCTGCGTAGATTCCCTTTTCCAAAGTCTCACTTGTTTTCTTTATTGATGAAAAACATGTTTATACACGACCTAAGGGCAGGACTTTGGGGTGATTATTGTCAGGTTTTGGAGGGAAAGCCTCCGCTCCATTCCTCCTGTGAGCTGTTGCTCTCAGACTTCCCAGGTCAGAGCATGTTGGCAGGGTCACCTGCTGCCCTTGTGTTCCTTCTTTACTCAGCATGCAGTGGGCACCTGTCAGGAGCCAGGCGGTGCTGTGGGGCTCTGATCATGGTGGTGACCCACACTAAATCTCCCTGCTCTGAGGCGTTGGAGAGAAGACAGCAAGATATAAAACTTCGGAGGGTGACAAGGGTCATGAAGTTAGCAAGATGAGGGACAGCTAGCTGTGGCCTGGCGTGATACATGGTGAGATATGACAGCACCTTCAGGCTCCCGAGCAAGGAGCACCCTCACAGTAGTCTGATCGGTACCACATGGGTGTTTCCAGAGGTGGTTCGTGTTCATCTGGGTCGTTAAGCAGTTTGTGCTGCTATACTTCTGTTCTCAGGCAGCTTACATCACCAGCACTGAGCCTGCAGGGACGGAGAAAGCGCTCCTTGGCACTGGGATCTAGTTGGCTGAAGACTTATGGGGAGTTTAGAACCAGCCCGCACCACCCCTGCTCCAGGAGGCGCCTGGTCTGCCCGAGGCTGCTGGCACTCCCCATCATTTACTTTGGCCATTCTCACAGGGGTTCCCTCCCTTGGATATTTGTGGTTGCCTCACATTTTATGCATTGATTAGCCCTGAACTACTAAAAGGACACTTTATGGGTTTTGAGTCAGAGTATTTTGTTTCGATTCCCCCGTGCCCCACCCACCTCCCCCAATGGAGTCCATCCAACTTGAACATCTGGAAATAAGCCTTATTATTTATATGCATGTCTGTTTATCTGTTAAGGTGGTGTACATAGGTGTGAATATAAGGGCTAAATCCCCTCCTTCTACAAATATGAGCATCGGGTTGACTCTCCACCTCTGTGGATCCCACCTCTGTGGATTCGACCAAACTTGGGCTGAAAATACCTGATGGGGGGACTCCTTCTGCACTGAACATATGCAGATTTTCTTTCCTAGTCATTATTCCCTGAACTATCTACATAGATTTTACATAGCATTGGGCATTATAGATAATCTAGAGGTGATTCAAATTCTACCAGAGGATGTGCTTAGGTTCTATGCCAATACTATGCCGTTTTACACGGGGGATGTGAATATCCATGGATTTTTGACATCCTGGGGGTGCCTTAACCAATCCCTTATTGATATGCAGGGATGACTCTAGCAGGGTGGATGGATAGATGAGGTTTACATTCACTCACCACCTCTGTCCAATAGACCACAACTAAAATAGCTGGCTTTTCCAACAACATAGGATTATCTGTTTGTGTACTTGACCAACCCAGCACAAGTCAGTGGTTCAATTCCTTTAAAGGGTTCAACACATACAACATTAAATACCTAGTTTATAAGGTTGGAATTAACAGGGTTCACATGAACAGGCCATTGGATCCATGATCAGGTTAAGAGTCCAGATAGACGGCAGCTACACGAAGGCCACAGAGTCCCCTTCTAGAAGCTTCCACCAAAGGTGCTGATTTCATGAGTGCTTATGTATGCTACACCGGCTCCCAGGGAACCATCACTTCTCTGTTGATTTCAGTTTTGCAGGCTGTATTGGCAGGACAACTTTGAAGGAGTTTGGGTCTCTGACAAAACTCTTCATGAGGAGTTCCTCAGTATTCATCCATGACAGAAAAGCTTCTGCACCGTCTCAGGTGTATCCTTTCCTTAACAGTGATTCTCGGTTGTCTAAAGGAGCAACTCCCTGCAGTCCATCAGGAAACAAGCAGGCTGCAGCTTATAAATACACAGTGATGACTGGGTGCTGTCCAAGTGGACAACAAAACTCTGTAGGAACCATGAGACCATAATGCAACCGGAAAAACATAAAGAGTAAAGGAAAAAAGATGGGAATATTTTTCCTACCTCGGTGCATCTCGATCAGCAAACAGCAGGAGAGTGTGTACCGTGCCCTCATGCAGCTGCCTCCATTATGGCCCAGTCTCCTGCAGGCATGTGGGACAAAGGTTGAAACACTAGAACATGTGTCCACTCTATGATATTAAAGAAATCCCTTCCTTTTGTTTCCTAGTGGGGTCTATTTCCAAGGCACCACCATCGGCATGGCACCCATCATGAGCATGTGCACTGCGGAGCAGTCTGGAGGCGTGGTCATGGTAAGCCGAGGGGCTGGCTTCCCTGGGTGATGGTCCCCAGGAAACCACTGCTCTCTTCAGACTTCCTTTCATGCTTTTCAGACTTAATCTGCTCTTACTCTAGCCATGTTTATGATCTTCTGAATACCATAATATTTTAGGGACTGTTTAGAAAACAGAAACTGCACACAGTAAAGATGGGCGTGTAATAAAGAAACAACCAATCATCTCAGTGGAGGCCAGCCTCCCCCTGTCAGGGAAAACATTTTCAACTGGGACTTCCCGTCAGTGCCTTCCAATCCAGAAATGCCTCTAGTGCCGGCATGAGCCAGGGCATCGGGGTTGCCCTCTTTACTCAGCTCTTTGGATCGACTGTGGTCCCTCCTAATGTTACCGTTCAAGGTTTTCTGATGGTTCTGCCTCCAAGCCCAACTGCCAGAAGTCTGAGGTTTTCAACAGCGTACCACTGCAAATGCTTTACATACCTTCTGGCCAGTGTACAATTTGTCTCTATAATAACCTTATTCTTGGAAGGCAGCGACCTAAGTTTATTGCTTTACAAGGGGAACTTTGTCACATACAGGCTGTGCATGTTTGTAGAAGGAAATAAAACAGGAAGACTATTTGGGCCTTCTTATGGATTTAGGAGGGAGGGAGCTTTGATGGCTGCCCAAGAGGGGTGCCTGCTCCAGAAGAGGTTTTCCCCCTCTGCTGTCCTGCTCTGAACTGAAGGGCGCTGGGGCGGCAACAGCCCTTGGACAGGGAGTACCCTCAGACACTTCCTCCATCTCCACTCACCAAGCACAGCCTCGCCCTCCCAAGAAACCGCAGTTCCTCCACGTTTTCCAAACAGAACATTGTGAGTGCTGGGTTGTAGAGAAGGGCGGAAGGAATTGTCTTCTGCTGACTGTTACTTTCTCCCCACGTCTCGGCCACTCTAATCTTCTCAGAGAGTGTGCTCAGCATGTCCTCCTCTCCAGGTGCAGGGCCTGGTAGCTCCTGTGCTCCTATTTGGAGGGACTGTGCCTGCTCACTGGATGGTGGCTCCAGGGAGCTACTCTCTGGTTTCCTTTGAACCTGGAAGCCCCATAGGTGATCTCCCCCGTGGAAGTCATTGGAAAGTTTGGGGGGTTTTTTGATGCGAGGTTAATTTCAAGTCAGATCACAACTGTATTTTTACAGAGCAGCCTGTAAAGTTTAAAGAGGGAATCATTTTCTGTTTCATGGTTCCATGGTTAGTTGCTACTGACTTTGTCACTTAAAATGGGCAGAGATAAGTTCCGAGAGCTGAAACCAAATTCCCCATAAGCAAAGCAGTGTCGCTGTGTAGGGCTGAAACCATCCTACAACCTCTCAGAGAGGCGAAAGGCTTTCCTTAGCTCTCATCCTGGTTCTGTTTCTGTAGAAGCATCTTATCAAGATTTCTTCTTTAAAAGCATGCTGGGAAATTTATTTTTTTAAAGATGTATAAGTATGGTATGAGAAATAGAAGCAAACTATGTGTGATGCCAAGAGAATCTAGTCAAAACCAAAGTTAATTATCAAGAAACAGGTTTTACCAATTTGAGAGCAATTCACATCGAATTAAACACATTCCTTGTTTTATACAACGTATAAGAGAAACATCAGACAGAGAGGAAATGCCCTTTAATTTCTATAAATTCATGAAACCAGCAAGCGCAACATTTTGACCAGGTCTAAAACTTCTATACTGATTTTCTCTTCTTCTTTCCCTAAATTCATGGGCATTACATGTGACTATGTCTTGCTTGAGGATTCTCAGATCTAAGAGGAATGAAATAACGTGGCCAGGAAGCAGAAATCTTCAAAAAATGTAGAATATGGTTTCTGGTATTATTTCTCCAATTTTCAATCACCAACTTCAGCAACTTAAAATAGTAACCTTACATCTAACTGGCCCAAAATAGGTTTTGATTCAGGGACTGTACCAGAAATAGAGAGGTTGTTTTTCTCCTTATTACAAATGCGAACTGTTATCAAGGTCTCTTAAGAGATATTCTGTTTATAATCATTTATGCATAAAATAATATAAAATAACTGCAAATAAAACCCAAAGTGTGATTTCTAGTGATGCAAAAGAATCCTTGATGTGAAAGAACTTTGTGCCAACACATGCTCAAGTCAATCCTTTCATTCTTAGGCTAGCTACACTCTCTTCACCAATGCGTATGAGTCCTAAGAATTGATTTCCTGAACACATATTTGTAAAGCTTCCTAAAGCAGGAAACTGTAAAATATTTTTTTAAAAAAAATAATTTATTAGGAATTCCATCTTTTCTAAGAATAACTTTCTTCCTTGACATTCCATTCTTTACTGAAGATGAGGGCTAGCACGGGGGAGAGCTACCACCGTAAATACCACTGGCCAAATCTGCAAGATCTTACGAGAACTGCTTTTATCCAGGTCCTCACAAAGCCTGCATATAAGGAAGAGTGTTTTCTCGCACATGCAGAACCACACTGCTTCCTGGATGCCTTTTGGAAAACCTCTTCTCTCTTCCCTGGGGAGCACAAATGAAGATTCCAGAAAGATGCTCTTCTTACTCTGTGGCCAGTAGGCCCTTTCAAAACCACCATTCAGGAGCACAATTTCTGTGAATCACATACACTAATTAACTAACATTTAAGAAACTTTGCTTTTTAGCGGGTTTCTAGTGTCTGCTTAGCCAAGCCCGCCAAGCACACCACCAGCTGGGTGGCCAGGCAGGGCTTGCCGAATGGGGAACCACCTTCCTCAGCCTGGCAAAGCCAAAAGTGAACCCCCAGCAGCAGCACACGGAGCATCAGGTGCCTCTGTTCATGTCCACAGGCAACCTGACCACACAAAGGGCCAGCGGGAGTGGGAGCTGATTATAATTGGGGTTCGGTCAGTCTTCAAGCAGACAACTCCATGTGGTCAGCCTTCCCTGTGAGTTAGCGTGAACTTTGCCAGTATCCTCCTGACCAAATCGACAGGCGAGGCAGGGCCGTCACAGCCGCTCAGGCCGTAGGTTGCGTGTCAGAGAGCACCTTCCCGACAGGCTCCTTCCTTCAGGTGTCCTCACAATCAGGCATGAGACGTGCTTCCACTTCCCAGGAAGGAGTGGGCTTTCTCTTCCACGCGATGGAGCAACTCTGCTTCATTCAGTGGGATGTTTTGTGAGAGTTTGAGGGTGCAGAGTGGAGACCACCACAGTGATTCTTTCATATGAAGATATGAAGGGCTGGGGATGTGGCTCAGAGGTAAAAGTGCTTGCCTGGCATGCATGAGGCCCTAGGTTCGAATCCCCAAGCACAAAAAAAACCCAGAAAGATATGAAAATCCTGTGTGTACATGAGGTATTCAGTCCCCAGGAGAAGAGGCCCCAAACTGGATTAATAAAGTATGTCAATTTTTCTAGGTTCAAAGTCAATAACAGGTGTCTATGTTGGTCCTTTAGAGGGAATTTGATGACCTTATGATAGGAAATTGTCCAGCAGGGAGGGAAGACCAGACCAAGGAGGCTGAGGAGATGTGAACTATATGTCTGTGCTCTTGTGTTTTCTTTGAGGACCATTCAGACAGCCCCCTTGGTGCGGCCGTGACCCTGGCACACGAGCTGGGCCACAATTTCGGGATGAACCATGACACACTGGAGAGAGGCTGTAGCTGCAAAATGGCTGCCGACAAAGGAGGCTGCATCATGAACCCTTCCACCGGGCAAGTACTAAGGCTCCCAGGGCTCCGAGAGTGGTGCAGAGCTTGGAGTGTGTGTGGGTAACAGCTGAGCACAGCAAAATGCTCCCCTGATTTTCTGGTCAGTCTTCCCTGGAACTTCCCAAAAGAAATCCTTGCCCAAGTAGCAAGAGTGAACTGCGCTGCTCCGCAGAGTCACACGCAACCAGTGTGCAGGGCCACATGGCATGGCCCATTCCCTGGGAAGGGGTGGGGCTGGATGCTGTGTTTGTTTAGAAATTGCAAATTATTTTATAATGTCAGCGGGTGGTTTTGATTTGAGCCTACAGAGGCTCCCTAGCAATCTGAATAGCCAGCCATGAGAGGGCCTTGCAAACCCAGTGGGCCAAGGGGGACAAGGGGAGGGGGGTCGTCCCATGGCCCTAGAGTGTGCAGATGAGGCATTTGCTCCCTCTGGGTTGGCCAGGGGCATGTCCGATGTGTTGGTAGCTTGGGGATTGTAGTGTCCTTGCACGACATATTACCTTACCAGATCTCAGAGGTTTAAATTAAATCATTTTCTGCTTCCATAAATTAGGTTGTTTCTCCTTATTTACTGCCTTTCTGAATCTCTAGTCTTGGTTCAAGCAGAGGGAGAGAGCGCCATGATTGGAGCCCTCCAAAGAGATGGAAACAAATGCAACTTGGAGTGACTAGAGATTCAGATCTGCTGAACCTTGTTTTCCTCAGCTTTTTCATTGCTATATAAAAGACCTGACAACAATAACTTAAAGGAGGAAAAGTTTTGGGGGGCTCATGATTTCAGAGGTTCAATCTATGGTCAGCCAACTCCATAGTCTGGGGCAGAAGTGAGGGAGACCATCATGGCCGAAGGGCATGGCAGGGGAAATCAGCTCAGTAGGTGGCACCCAGGAAGCAGAGAGAGAGCTCCTCGCACCAAGGACAATGTGAACTCCAAGGACACACCCCCAGGGACCTACTTCCTCCAGCTTACAGTTACCATCCACTTATTCCTTATCAGTGGATTAATTCACTGGTTAGTTCGAGCTGCTCAAATGTATCTATTTCATCTCTGAAAACTCTTGCATCGCATCACACATGCGCTTTTGGGGGACACTGTGTATCTAAACTATAACAAACCTCTAAGCATCCACCCCAGGCTGGCACATCCCGCTAACACACAGGAGGATCTCTTTAGCAAGGGAAAACACGCCCGAGGGGCATGCCATCTTCTTCAGCAACCCTGAGGCTTCGCACCCCCCTTGGTGGAACTTAAGCCAAGCCTGCTCTCTGGGTTTGCTGAAAGGAGACACTGGGGACAAGGAGTGAGTGTTGACTGAGTGGACCGAAGACTTGGGCTCTGTGAGGCCTTGCTGCCCCGGGGACAGACCTGCAAAAGAGTCTCAAAGTCCCAGAAGAGGGAGGGGTCAGCAAAGCATGTGGTTGTGCTTCGCAAGCCAAAGCCAAAGGGCCTCCTGCCAAATGGCTTGAAGGGCACCAAACTACCCCCACAACAAAGACCAGGCAGACCACGGCGCATGCCAGGCACCGTCACTTCACGTGAGCCATCAGTGAGGTGTCTTCTCCAGCAGGTGCTGCTTCCTCGTGTCCCTCGGGTCCATTGCCACCATCAAATATCCATCCCAGCCTGGGGGCATCTTTTTCACTCAAGTTCAGTGTTAAGCACAATTCAGGGGAGTCACGGAGAATTGGTGGAGGAGTTGCTCTCTACGTTGTGACAACAGAAACGGGGACTGCGCCCAAAATATTTTAGACCAGCATCAACAGGGAGTGAAATACTCCAAAGCTCTAGATACTAAAAAGTGGAGCTTTCAGCCGGCCACTCTGCAGCGTAACTGTGCCCTTGTCATTTAGGGTGTCCCAGCAGAGGCAGCATCACTGCTGGACACTTAGGGCATGGAGTTCCTTCTTTGGGTGTGAGGTTGCCCCAGGGGCCTGTTGGTGCCTTCTGTCTCCAACATGCCATGAGCCCAGATGGAGCCAGTCTCCCTGGGCGGCTCGCGGTGTGTGGCTCTCGGTGAGGGCAGTGGACAGGAAGTTGATGTGGAACCAAGAGGTCTTTGTGCTTTCTTGTTCTGATGAACTCATCAAGTGGCCACAGCAAATGCTCTGTGTGCGTAATTTCCCTAATTATCAAGTGGGCACAAATATATCGGCCTCCTGCCTTCCAGAATTTGGTCCCCAGTGGCCAAGATCTGGTTGTCCATCAGTGTTGCTAATGCTTTTAAATTCTCCATAAAAGAAACAAGAGGAAGAGAGGGAAGCCAGTTTGGGAACACCGTTTGAAGAGACCTGACTGTCCCCAGTCCAACCCAGTTCCTTTGCTATTACCAGGCTGACAAGCCACCCCTCTGGCCCTCACATGCCCAGTCAGGGAAAAGAATGGCAATCTTGGTTCACGCATCTACCCTCCCCTCCTCCCTCCTACCCACCCACCCCCTGGTTTGTTCTCATGTTAAACAGCGTTGCCCCATGCACTGTTAGGAGGAGAGCACAGAGGCAGAAGACCCCGCAGCCCCAAGTGTGGTCCCGAAGGCTCACTCTCAGCTGACCACAGCCAGCCAGGGCACCCCAGAGGCATTTGAACACCTCAGGTAGAAATGGTATTGTTAAGAGCTCAGCAAAACATTTAAAAGGCTTTTTTCCCCTCTGTTACCAGGGGTTTGTTAATAGCCTTTATTTGATTTATACCTTATTAGCAATTTCTAAGTTTCCTCTTCTGCTGAGCTTGTGCTTTTGCGTAAATCTTTTCTATTTGGTTCTCATTTATGATCCCACATTCCTGTCCAGAGAGTGGTGTTTTTAATTTTCTCAGATGGAAAGCAACTTCCTAAGCAAGTGGGTGAATTAATCACAAAGGCCCCCGTGAGGGGGAGGCCAGGCAGCCCCCAGTCATCCATCACCCGCAGTGGAATTTCCCAGGCTGCTCCAGCGTTATCTCAAAGCGGTGGTTCCCTTACCTCATAGTGTCCCCAGGAGAGTGGGAGAGTGGATTAAATGAGCTCATGTGTCTTTGTGAATTGTAAATCATTCCAGAGATGCAAGGCAGTATGCCTATTATATAGTGCACAGAGACGTCGGAACTAACAAAGCCTTAGAGGGGTTTTTCAGAATTCCAGGCCATGTACTGTCCCTCAGCAATGCATCCAGTTTCTGTGTGAAGGGCTCATGTTAAACTGGCCACGTCCACATACCAGCCTTCTTTCTGACTTCTTCCTGCCCACGTTGATCCAACCATGGTGGCAAGGGTTAAGAAAGTGTGCTGATTGAAGTCTTAGCGTCAAAGGGACTCAGAAAGAGATGAATCCATAACTGTCTTAATATTAAAGTCCCTGAATCAAAAAGAACCAAGTGTTATAAGTGGTTTAAAGGGGAAAATATGTCTGCTGATATACTAGGCTTATCCATTATCAGAGCATTGCAGAATCCTAGCTCTGAAAACATCAGCCAACTGTCACCTCAGATGAATGGACCCCAGGGCCTGCACGTACATCTAGCATAGAGTGGGGTCCTGTGTGAACTTGGGTGTTGTAACTTCCTTTACATATTGCAGCAGTGGTCTGAGGGAGTTTCCTGATGGGTCGTATCATTAATTACCGAGCGCCTCTGCGTGTGTGTGAGCGTGTGTTTTGTGTCTTGGGTAGTTAACATTTAAGACCTGTCTTGGAAATCACTTCTTGGCAAATGCAGGATCTGGGGGTTCCTGTGGGAGTTGACTCACTGGAGTCTGTCCATTAATGACCTTCCTGCAGCACTTGCTGGTACAGGGCTGAGGCTGAGGATGCTGCGTGAGTAGCAATAAGAAAATGGAAATGATGGGAGCACTTTTAGGGAAGAACATTTGGCATCATAGTGAAGGCCACTTCCTGGAGGGGAGAGAAGGCAACATATATTCCAAAATTGACCCCGCAGATTCCTCTATTTTGCAGAGATCTTTCTGTTAAAATGAGAGTCGGGGTGCTAGGGCCATCTTGTGGGGGGAAAGCAGTGGAAGCTGCAGCACCTGTTAACTAGGCTCCTGCCACCACTGGGCTCCTAAATGGTGTTGGGGACGCACCTTAAACAGGGCAGACACACTGTAGAACTTACAGTGGGAAAAACATCCTAAGAAAACAACAAATGAAAACATTGCAGATTGGAAGGAAGGCTGTGAAGGAAGCAAACAAAGAGAACAGAAGGGGTGAAAGGGGTTGGGAGAGAGGGGGAAGAGAGAGAGAGAGAGAGAGAGAGAGAGAGAGAGAGAGAGAGAGAGAGAGAGAAAATGTACCAGTGAAGAGGCTGGGTGTGGTAGTGCATGCCCAATCCCAGCAACTCAAGAGGCTGAGACAGGAGGATCATGAGTTTGAGGCCAGCTTTGGCAATTTAGTAAGACTCTGTCTCAAAATGAACATAAATAAAGGAAGAAAAATGTCTGGCGGTGTAGCTCAGTGGTAAAGCTAAGTGCTCTACCCTGGGTCCAACCCCCCAGTACTGCACAGAGTGCACACACCAGCTAGAACACAGGAAGTGAGCTCAGCAGAGGGGGCTGGAGGCGGGGCTTGGAGGGGAGCCTTGCAGTCAGAGGCCAGGGCCTGGGGCAGGAGGAAATGCTGCTGCTGCTGCTGCTGCTGCTGCTGCTGCTGCTGCTGCTGCTGCTGGGTGGGAAGGAGGAGGAGCCAGGTCCCCTCCACCACCACCACCACCACGGGCAGGAGCACAGGTTTTTTCTCTCCAGAGCAATGGGAAATCATTGAGGGTTTTCAGGAGGTAAAACAGTAACATGATCTGAGTTCTCTCTTAAGATTGCTTTAATTTTTAAGAGGATGTTATAGCTTCTGAGCTACTGTAGCCTGCCAAATTAAGGGACTTTCTTTAAAAAGTAATAGTGCATAAATCCCAGTTTTATTTTGGTAGAACTAACAGGCATTCCGGAACTACAAAGAGGAGAGACCCTGCATCCTCCTCCTGGCACCTTGGGATAGCTTACACCACACCACACCCTCGTGCCCTGGGGGCAGGATTCT